GAGAGAGAGAGAGAGAGAGAGAGAGAGAGAGAGAGAGAGAGAGAGAGAGAGAGAGAGAGAGAGAGAGCAATCAAATAGCTCCTTAGCATTTATTTGAAACCCCCTGCGGCTTATCCGAGAGGCCCCTGCACATAATTAGCGAGGGCCACCTCACCATGAACGAAGTCATGGCACACGAAGTAGATTCACATTAAGGTCCGTGTTTCAGCAGTTATGGGACCACCGAGCACGCGAGTTTCTTGGCAGTAGCTGGCCAACTCACCACGTGCTTTTCAGGGCTTCCCTCCACTACTCACCAAATGTGCAAAACGAGAATGAATCTTCTGCTAGAATATGGGACCGTAAGCTGCCATATGTTTTGTCTTTCGTGCAAGTGGTGACGAGTGGAGAAAGGCCCTTAGGGCCACTGCTCGTAGGAAAAGGAAACAAAAGAAAGGAATGAATCTTCTGCTGAACATGGAACAATACGCCGCCATATGTTTTGTCTTTTGTGCAAGTAGTGACGAGTGGAGCAAGGCCCTTAGTGCCACTGCTCGTGGGAAAATGAAACAAATGAAACAGACAGCTACAGTAGTAAGTAGTTGTAACTTGTAACCCATAACTGCTGCCACTGCTCGTGTGAAAATGAAACAAAAGAAACAGAGAGCTACGGTAGTAAGTAGTTGTAACTTGTAAGCCATAACTGCTGTAAAGCAGACCTGACTTCGGATCCAGAACATATATTGCTGGCCTGCTCCTCTCTCACACAAATTTGCTGAACGTCTCTTGAGATGTTGGGACCCTTGCAGATGCACTGCCGGGGTCCTCCGGGAAAAAGACTATTCAACAAGGAATACATCGGCCCAAATTTTTTTTCTGTGCCCCGATATTTTTGAAGGGAGGTGCACCATTGGCTACCTCAGCCAGCCCTCTCCAATTTTTTTTTAACCCTATTTATTGGGGTGCGCCGCATCACGTGCGTGTTCATGCTTGCGCGTGCACTATGCGCCGTATGTGCGGAGCTCGCGCGCATCCGATGCGCCGCAGGTATGGGTTGGAGTATAGGGGGAGTATACGGGTGATATAGGGGATATTGGGGGGGTTTAACAAGGGTGTTGGGGGCAGTTCGGGGGTGTTGGGGTGGTGCATGGGGGTATTGGGGGCCTCTATTGGGGTGTTAGTGGTGTTATTAGGGGTTCGGGACCCCCCCCCCAAAAAAAAAAAGTGCGGGGTGTCGATGACCCCCGACTGGTAGATGCCGACCAGACGATCGGTCGGCGGGTCGGCAGCCGACCAGTCAAGGGCCGCCAACCGTCCGCGGGTCCAACACTGTACTGAATTGCAAATTCGTGCGTCCGGGAG